CCCTAACACAAGAACACTTTGTTCTAACAATCCGGCATTCTGTGATGCTCACTTTCCTGACATGATTGCAGAAGACAAAATGGTTGTGTAAGCAAATGTGGTGAAGAAAGCTGATGGTGCTAGGCTATCAAAAGTTATAGCATCTGAGGTCTTAAAGGCTTGAAGATAAACAATCGGTCATCTAGCTCAGAAGCAACAGAGCATACATGGAAGATGCACACAAGCCTATATGATCATGAGGTGTCGATGGGATCAGGTATCAGGCATCAAAGACTCCGAGCAAAATACTACCCAATGTGAATTGGTGGGGAGGGAGGCATGGAGTGGAGACCCAATGCCCATCTCTAGACAATCGGACATCCCCTCACAGAGGGCTCACAGGGAAGAGATGAGCCAGTCAGGGTGCAGTATAGCACCAATGAAACACAATTTTCTTCTAGTTCTTTGGTGCTTCCATCCCCCCACTACCATGAGCTCAATTCTACCTAACAAAATGGATTAGACCAGAACATGCACACTGCTACAGACAAGAGCCCACAACACAGGGAATCCAGGATAGATGAACTCCCAGGGTCAACAATGAGAGTAGAGATACCAGGAGGATTAGGGAAGTGTCGGGGGAGAAAAGGGGAATCGATCACAAGGATCAATTGTAACCCCTTCTCGGGAGGACAAACAATGGAAAAGTGGTGAGGGGCAATAGAGGACAATATAAGATATGAAAATAATTATATAATAATAATAACTTATCAAGTGTTCATGAGGGTGGGCAGGGGAAGAAATAGGGAGCAGATGTCAGGGGCTCAAGTGGGAAGAGAATGCTTTGAAAATGATGATGGCAGCATATGTGCAAATGTGCTTGACACTGTAGATGAATGTATCTAAATGTGATAAGAGATGTAAGATCCCCCAATAAAAGTATTTAAATAAAATAAAAAATAAATAAAATATAGGTTTGGATAGTTTTGCCCCATTTGGTATATGGGATCGAAAGACTAGTTCCTCACTGATGCAATAAACGTAGGGTTGCTTATGCACTTTGTGTCTGAGCCCAAGCTTTGTACAGGGCATCTGGGTGAGGATTTTAGTACTGCTTGCTGTAGGGGTGAAAAGAGACTCCCAAATTGAAGTATAATTTCTAGAGACACATTTATTAAATCTTAAACAGGAAAAAGGCAAACCATCTGGATGAAGGAGACCATCCACATAGGGCCATAAAGGTTTCCACGGATTCCCAGTCAGACAGCCATGTAAGTAGAACACAGAGAACAAAGAAACCTATCACCAAGTCATCATTTGGGGCAGATGAACTCATCATGATTGCAGGCAGGACTAGAGGAGCAGGAAAGAGGCCATGATTGGGATAGATATGCTATTTCACGCTAGAAAAGTTTACAAGATTGACGCAAGACCCTCACTCCAAGGCAGTCAGTGACTATGTGACCCCAGTATCCCAGTTTCCCTCAAGAACACACCCAGGCAGTCCCTGAGGACAAGACTGACCACCCTCCCCACCCCCTGAGCTGGCTGACAGGCCACAGTCCTTTCACAGTGTTGAAATCTAGGAGAGTGCTGGTCAGCCGCTTGCAGACACACCCTGCCTAAGGACAAAACTTCTCACATTGGTCAGAAAGAACTCAGTGCAGGCTCAAAAAAAGGAGTTAGGGATCTCACTGTAAACCAGAACTTTCCTCAAACCTAGTGCTCAGAATTTAAGCTCTATTATCTGCTCTAATGGAAATCCCACAAATGGGTGATGTTAACAATTAGAAGTTTATTTTCTCACCTTTTAGGAGGCTAGATCCAAATCCAGGGCAGTTCTAAAGAAAGCCCACTCTGGGAGAAAGTTCTTACATTTTTCAGAGTCTATTCCTTGGTTCTTTGGTGATGTTTACTCAACCCTTCACTCCCTCCCTGTCATCAACTAGATTCCAACTGTGGTTAGCAGCTCAATAGGAGGCCCGCGACACCATCGGTGCACCTGGTGATCTTCACAGTGGCTTGTACTTTCCCCTTCATTTGGCTTTCTCTCCCTGTGCCTAATCTTCTCTTTTGATATCTCAGAGGTGTTT